TACTTTGGTTAAACCCAAACTATTATCTTTCTGTAATGATTTATTAGATAACCCAGATCGAATGGTAATTTATCAAAGAGCAGTGTGCTGTTTGCATCCAGTCTAACAAAAGTGTTAAACACAAATATAACTGGCATTTTGGGATTTTTTTTAAACACCATAACAGCATTTTTGCATGATGTACTGTACAGTATAAAATTTCCATCAGGATAAATAGGGTGTTTTGCAGGCTTGTTTTTTTAGATGGCAACCAACTGGCACATTTGCAAAGACAATTGATACTGATAATATCTTCTATGTAAACTAAAGTCTGTTATTCTTAAAACATCAGTAATTTATTCATCGACAATATTGATTATGTACAGTAAATTAAACCATTCAGAAAGAAATTAGCTTAGAAACTAATTAGTAAACTTAAATAAGACATAGTAGCTAATGGCAGAAACCTTCAGAAAAAGCACATTGAAGAAACAGAGTAAAAATAGGCTGCGATAATGGCATAAATGGGTTTTATTTTGTAAAGAAAAGTATTATCCCTATAGAAGCCTTGGCATTGATGTTAGCTTTTGCACTTCTGTTATTCTTAAGTCTGAGCAAGACAGTTCCAACTGAGACACATACTGGGAAAGCAGATAGGAAACATCTGCTATATAATGTATCTTTTTTATCATTTATAAAGCACTTGAAATATTTAGAGAGTCAAGTATTGCATAGTTCAGCATGAAGGCATGGTGATGAGTGCTCATACCTCACTACTCAACGGTCTTGGATTCGTTTCAGGTATTACTGTCCATCCATGTGGAATTTCCATGATCGACAAATGTTTGTGTGGGTGTTTCTGTAATTATTTCAGGAAGATTAAGATAACTTTTATCCCTCTAATATTCACTGGGTACTCCGGTTTCCTTTACCAAGTCCTGGATTTAACAATTATTCACAGATACATAAGGCTCCATATACATGCTTGCTATGTTTATTTTATTGTTCTAATTTGTATCTTTCTCTGTGACTCTGCATTAGACGAGATTTCCATCCAGGGGTGAACCAGTCATATACAAAAAGCTCTTTGGAAATGATTAAAATGAACCCTGATGAAGTGAAATTTGTACTAGAAATGCCATTTACTGCCATTACAAATGTTTTTTTTCCTAAATATTGTAGATTATGTTTTTGTTTTTTGTAATATTGTAGATTATGCAAAGATCAAATGATAATTGATCTATGAATGTGTATATATCTATTTTTCTCTGCTTTTTTTTGCAGGTAGATTGCATTTTTGTGTCTACAGGTTTTCAGTTCAGCTGGGCTCTAACCAACCTACTGTAAATCAGATCATCTCATTATTAACTTTAGTGCAGAAATTTAACAAAACTTCTGTTACTGGTGCTTTAAAGAGAACTAATACATGTATAGACGTGCTAGCCACCCAGGACAGGAATTGGCATTTGAATTGAACAACCATTGTGAAAAATGTTTTGTAAAATATCCAATGTTGATGTGCATCCATCTATCATTCCACTCACCTACTTTCTAACTCCTTTATCCAACACAGAATTGCAGGTGAAGTGGGGCCTAGTTTTGCTGTTATGAAGAATATAAATAAGTAAAATATAAAGAATATATAAAAGTAAAAATCTTACTTCACATGTAAATTTGTCTTCACAAGATATTTTGACATTTCCTGTTAAGAGTTTCCACAACAGTTCATTCATTTTCACATTAAGTAGACAAACATTTATGCTAAGTGAGGTATTTTTAATAGGGAGGTGTGTGCATTTTTTAGGATGCAATAGGCTCCATGATAGGAGATTGCTTTTTGGTTTTTCTGAAAAGCTACAATTATGATAGCTTAGTCCCTATAATGTTAAAAAAAAGTTTCCTGAATCAACCTTAAAAAGTCCAAGAAAGTAAAAACCTCTCCCACCACAGAAAACCAGACAGCATGTTTTATAAATGATGTACAGTATTTCTCCTTAGTACAGTAAGCAATTCAGCTTATGTTTACTGATACACTCTTAACAAAATTTTACCACAAGCGGTTTTACTAATTTTATTTGTTATAGAAGATTGTTGAAGAAAAGAGACAGCTTTCAACCGAAGTTAAATCATCTTCAGTTTACAATTTTCCAAACACACTGGTTTGGCATTTGTGCTTGAGTGGATGCTTCTTATGCACAGTGCTGAGACTCTTGAAGTTTCCCAGCTCTGATTCAGATTAGCTTATATACTATATACACTGTATAGTTCTAATAAAAATATAATACAGATCCTGCCATCTAGAACACACATCAAAGTTTCAGTTGAAAGCGCACGTGTTATAATATAGTCCTGTTCAGCATACTGCACAGCTCAACAGCTGTTACTGATAAGGTAGCTTCATTTGATCTGTTTTTTTTCTAAGTCTAATAATAGTATTTCTCGAATATACAACATATTTTATATGCTATATAAACATATAAAGTATGTAGTCTATCTCTCATTTTAAAATGTAATGTGGCTTTAGAGTATTTTTCTGTAAATCTAAATTTTTTTAATGTGCCTGGTTTCATGGAATTTCTAAGAACACAAGAAATTTCATGGAGTGACCACTAACTAATCAAAACAACTGATTTTTTATATTGCAATTTGCTGTCATAGTTTATATTTTAATATGATTAGAATGATTGCTTGTAAAACAGTGGTGTAAATAAGCTTCTTGAGTCATGCAACGTTAAGCAGGGATATGTTATTGTTTGTTATTTTGGATTTTGAAAGTTGTGCTTAATAAGTGTTTCATTTGCATGTTAATTAGTATCTATTTAAGGGCATTTTACTCTATCCGAACAATCTGGAGATTTGTTGGTTTTGCGGTCTTTCAGCACCCACCTCCAGTACAACATACTGAGAGGAAACAATGCAATAACTCCTGTGTTACATCTGAAAAGTTATAATGAAAGGTGCTGCATGACTTAAAAAGATAAAGAAAACTGTTTTAAATAGTTTAAGAACTTTTTTATGCATGAAAAAGGGGTGCTTTTTCTTCTTCATGATGATCTGTGCTGATCTGTGCTGATCTGTGACACTTCCCCTTACCACTAAGGCACACAAGTGTTTTCCCACATGGGTTTCTTTTTTTCTGTCTCTCTCTCTGTAGCCATGGTTCAAACATTCTGAAAGGTACCAAACTGTACAGCCCAGATTTTTTTCCCCCCTACTATAAAGCGCTTTGAGATACTACCTTTAAAGATGGTATACATAATACTATATATCAAATATACCGTATCTAAAAGGTTATTTTTCTAAAAAAATAGAAATTCTAGGAAGGTTTTCAGAACTTTTCACAGGATGGCACAGGACAGAAGTACTGCAGCTGGTAGCAGAGAACTGACAGTCAGCCTGCACAAGGACAGCTACTCCTGAGTCCTGGGCCACCACTGCATCGCCTGGATACATCAATACATAAACATGGAAGAGTACCAGGAATTTGGATTATAAGTTTTGTTTGGGGCACTATTTACTAAGTTATCTTTTATAGCACCTTTAAATGTAGCATCCCAGAGCACTTTACAGCAGGTGTAAAGAAATTCAAACAAAAGAAAACATTGAAAATGCTACTGTATCACAAATACCAACTTCAGTAGCATTTGAAGTTGCATTTGGTTAACTAAAAACATTTTGATGAGAATGTCTTCCATATTGTATTTGAATTGGAATGTCTCACATTTCATACAGACATGTTAATCTGCCTCACAATCATTTTGTCCTGCAGGTCCTGTCCAGGCATTATTTTATGTTTTGATTACTAGCTCTGACATGAGGGGACAAAGACAAAAGACAAATATTTATAATACTTTTGGATTTTGTGAGTGGCATTTAATAATTTTACATTTCTAAAATATTTCTTTTTAAAGGGACTATTTAAAATGGAACAGGAAGTGTCTCCATTACCAAGTACTGCATGTACTCTAGTTTTAATTTGGCATGTGAGCTGAATACATGGACAAAAATAAATTTCCCAATGTCCCACACAAGTTAAAGAATCCAGTGAATATCCCCAGATATCCATATCAACTACAACTACAACTATCAACTACAGTATTACTGTCATTCTTGTTCACTGCCTTTTATTGCACATGCAATTATTTATACCACTTTTTCTGAAAGCTACAATTAAAATATTACTTTTTTTAGCAGTGCATACCTCAACAAAAGAACTGTAAATTGCAACTTTAACAATTTAAATATACTGTATTGATCAAAGTATAGTGCAGACTTGTATCAGCAACAATGCAATTTAAAGTCCTTGTCAAAGTCATTCACATCACTACTCAAAACAAAAAAAAATGCTGTATGTTTATTTGCTTTCAAATACAATATGTTTTTGAAGCCAGTAATAAAAATATATAATTATATTTTATAGCTGGAATCTTAAATTAGTCTGTAGTCTAATTACTACTTATACTGTACACAATTGATTAAAAAAGGATAGTGCTATTAGTATTATACAGTATTGTGACATATCTCATTTGGAGTTGCGGTAGTCATTTAGTAACAAAGTCCTGCATTAACAATGTAATCATTGTATTTAATGATTTTTTTTGTTACTAGTATGCATATAGTATGATTTGTGCAGGAAAGCACTAATGGATTAATAAACATTTAATACTGTCTGATTTGTCTGACAACTGCAAGCAGCGGCAGTACTTTAAGGATTCACAGCATCACCTGGAAGTTTTACAAATGAGTGCAGTCTCGCATCAGATTATTTATAAAAATAAAAAAAAAACAAATAACAAGCTGCACTCTGCAGTATACATACTGACACCTTTTGCATTCTATATGGCTGCATCTGTACTGCATAATCAATTATGATAAGTGGGTTTAACTAGTAGTCAAAGGTTACATAAAGTTCTGTTAAAATGGTCTCCATTAACACAGATTGCATGAAGAAACATACCATGCTGGTTATAATATCATCTGAGTGTTCATTAACCGCTCTGTTTGGTTGAATGTCCCACCAGGCCATGCGGAAGGAAGGGAAGGATATAAACATAAAAGAGGTGATGGATCGCTGGACTCTGCAGATGGGCTACCCAGTAGTTACTATCATTAAAAATGACAGCATGGACAACAGTATAACAATCACCCAAGAGCACTTCATCTATGACATTGATGCAAAAAACAAGGATCCTGAATTACTCAACATAAGGTATGTAAGGGATATGGAGTGAACCAACCCACCACCTAAAGTAGACTATAATCCAGATATAGGTACCAAAGCTCATAAAAGGAAACATAAACAATTAGACTTGAAATAAATACTTTTCCTAACTTGAGGAGTATTAAAGCACCTTGACAATTTGAATTGATTGGAAAGCTGCATGCAGTTAGTAAAACAAAAAAAAGAATACTGTTACCATGCCTACTGTAGCATTTCCTGCATATTGCCTTGTGTTAGGTCATCCTTAACCAGTAATGTGACTCTGGAAAACATACATACACTTTTACTCCTTGATATACAGTAGTTTACTACACCCTATTTTACTATAACCTGACCTACAAACTGTGGATAGTAAACTTTGGGAAATGCAAAGGAGGGTTATTAACCCTTGGCTAATAACCATGCTACCTATAGTAACTTCTGTAACTAATGTGGATTCCACCTTTGTCTAAACCTTAATGATAGGGGATGAAACTGTACTTTTATCTACACCCTTAACAGCATGAGAGAGTGAACCATGCTCACCACCTGTTTAACCTACAGTACATAAGTGTAAACTGTGCTTCACCCCCTCTGTAACCTATGGGAAATGCCCTCTTCCCCACCATTTGCCCTGAGACTGTTTTCAACATGACTCATGCTTTGATGGCTTTTCCTTTGTTTGTCACTTACTGTAAATAAAGTGAAGTCTAGTTAATAGCACCCACAGCATATTTTGCTGCAAATACCTGCTCTTATTTTTTTTCAGTTGTCTCTAAGCTTAATATCTGCAGCTCAAGATACAACCTCCTATTCTTTGTGAAGTGTTATTGCATGCATATCACCATGAAGCAGTGGAAGGAAGCTTAGGGATTTTGTAGAGTCTTCTAGTCTGTCTCATGCTTCATAAAGTCAAACAGATTTGTGATGTCAAAAATGCTAAATAGAGGTTGATGTTGCTTTTGACATTTTTCCGATAATTGTCTAGTTTAAAAAATCATGTTGGCCATGCCTCTTGAGGGTCTGAACCCACACAGGAATTGTTGTAAAAGTTTTTTGGAAAGAGGAATAACTTGGTTGAGGAAAATTCTTTTGAGCTTCTTGAATAGCACTCATAAATAAAATTAGTGTATTATTGTATGGCATAGTACTGTATACGTCCATTTGGTTGCAAAGCTTGCTGCCCCAAGAGTGCTCTGGTATAGAACAGCAAAGAAGGAGTCATCAGGATTTTTCTGCGTGAGGGTACTGTACCAAGCTGACATTCGAAAGATAATGGAAATACTGTACAATATGGTAAGAACAGTATATTGTGGAAAAATATCCACTAATAGTGAGCACGGTTTTGAAAATATAGATTAATTGATGCTCTACTGTCACAGAACCCACTATTTTCAGACTGATAGATGAGGAAGTGTGGATATCTATAGACAAGATAGCTGCCATTATAGGTGTGCCTGATGGTACAGTAATCCACACAAGTCTGCAATTTTCTTTGTTTGTTCTAGTGATAACTCAACAAACTGCTGCTTGTACAGAAAACCTGCTCTGTATTCTTCATAGAACAAGATCCACTAATGCCTGTCAAACCAAAGTACCTTCATATCTGGCATTCATTTCCATGCTGTTAGGAACATAATTGGATCACCTGTATGGACCCCTTTGAAATCTGTGATTTATCTTGATTAGTTTGTACTTAATCCTAGTTGAATTGAAACATTCCCAAAAATGTGCTACTGTATGCAATAATGAGGAACATCTGGTAAAGCTTACTGGTAAATAACGGTCTTCTGTGATCCAAGCAGAGACTGGAAAGATTTTGGAATCTTTTAGTCTATTTCCCATTTAATTTTATATATAGTTCATATACCTTTAAGCAGAATGGAAATAACTATTAATTCTTTTATTATTTGCATGCACATCCTGTATATTTTCTTAATAATTTATGCCATATACAGTATATATAAAACAACTTTATTTGCACAAAATGTATTTTATTTTTTATATGAAATATATTTTTTGGAAAAAGAAGATAATGAAAGCATACAAATAATTATAAAGACACACTTTCAAATAGCCATCAAACCACATTTTAACACAATCCCTGGCAATGTGGCAGGATAGGAAAGGATTACATTTATCCCAAGGATATACAGCATCTTATCCCTGGATGGGAACAGACAATGCTTTTTGCATCCTGCCAAGGACAACAGAGAACTGACAATGTCCAATTTATGATAGAAAGGTCAATTCAGTTTTATTTTTAAATTCTAGAGTGAACCAATTGATGTATTGATTGAATACAGATTTTTCAATTGCTCCCATCTGCCGACTTTATAAATTTTCATTTTAATACAAAGCTTTTCCTATTCATATTTTATAACTAAGAGTAACTCAAAAACATTTAAAAACTTACTGTAAAAAATATGAATATTCTTGTCTCGTTTATAGATTTACTCACTTTTTACATGCTTTTACAACTATTTTACACATAGTTTCTCCAAATGGGAAGGAAATTCCATTCTGTCAGCAAAGTCTGACAGTAAACCATAAAATATTTTATTTCCCATTCTGTATAAACTTATGGTTTTTTAATTTAATTGTTTACATTTCTCCAAGTTCTCAGGCAGGTGATAGCCAATGTGTTCTTCATCGTGCTTGTGCATATATCTTTTGTTTTAATAAACACAAAACAAAAAACACTGCATTACACAAAGATTGCCTTGACAAACTTATTTACTGTACATCTTGCACGTGGATATAAAAAAATCAACATGCAAGAGATTTATTTATTCCTGATTTATATTATATTTAATTATGAAATTAGTTGATTTCCACTTTACATGTATTTTAGCAACTACCATTGGACCTGTGTGAAACATGAGAAAAATGTATTTGTTTAGCAAATCATTACTTCTGTTTTCTCAGGTGTTTCAAGCAAGTAAAAATACAGACACTAGACACTATTTTAGAGACATGTAACATTGGTAACCTACTTCAAAGCAAATCAAATCGTAATAAAAAATAACTCCTTAGCTTTATGTTCATGCTTTTAATTAAAGAAAGAAAAGAGAGATAAAAGCATAAAAAGAGACATTTAGAAAAATTGTGAAGTAGTAGTCATGGCTCCATACCCTGGACTGAAGGGTCAGGGGTTCAGATTCTAGGGAGGATCCTGTTGTAACCTTGAGCAAGGTACTTTATCCACAGTGCTCCACTAAATGCTTTGTTGTATACATGGATTTCTAGGTTGTTGCTGTACAGTTATTGCAAAGTTGTACTTTGTTGATTTACCTTTTGCAGTTTTGTTCTGAGTTTTGATTAAAATAAAGTAATTGTTAAAGCATAGAGCAAACTTGGACTGTACCCAATATATACAGATAATGAATCCAATGCACCCTAATCATTACAAAATCCTCCTTTTCTTGTGATAAGAAAACTGACAAATAGCAATAACCTTATTATGCTGCCAATCAAATCAAATTGTTCAATTGTTTGAACATTTTTTTTTTTCATTTGGTTTGAAATACGGTAAGTTTATGGATCAGATATTTTTGGATAAACTTCTTTGCATCACTTATTTGCATCAATATAAAAAGTTCATTATTATATCTTATTATGTTTTGGCTTTCACAGTGGTAGTGGCCTTAATTGAATCTGTAGCTTTTAAAATACAGTATCTGAACATGTCACATTGTGTTGGCAATACTGTCACTATACCAGCAAACTAGTCTCTTTGTGTGTTCCAAATGACAACCAGATAAATGCCGTGTAGACAGCTCACCCACATCTGTAATGTCCTGAAGCTGAATCCTGCCACCCACTCTGTTTTTTGTATATTTTAAGCAGAGATGTAGCCACAGGTGGTTTATATCTTGATGTCACTTCTTAGAAGGCTGGGATTTATTTTAATATTCTCAGCAGGGTTTTGGCAACATTCAAATATCTAAACTGTAGAAAAAATTCTTTTTTGGGTGTATGTGGGGGGGTGGGTGTGGGGATAGAATCAGATTTTAACTAGAAATTCAGTGTTTCTTACTATACAGTATCATACAGTATGAATTATTTTCAGCAAAATATATACATTTCTGCATAGCATAAACAGGTAAGATGAACAGTAAGTGTGGGCAAAGGTAAATAGTTGCACCTGAAAACTGTAATATTATATTACGTATATATAAGTTAATATTTTGTAAGTCTGTTGTTGGCTTCATTGTAGGTCTAAGCTTTCAAAACGCTTAAGTAAGACAGGTGACATTGTTTCTAAATGCAAAAGTATCTTGAGGCCATTCATGTGCCTTACATCTCCCAGACATCGCATTTTATTATACACATCTTAGCAGTAAACCATGAGGAAATTACTCAGAGAGACCACCTTATGGGCCTTAACTGGAGCTACTGAATCAATGGTTCCATTTAGGAAGCTATGATAGAAATCAACTGGCCTGTCCAGTGGTAAAGATTGAACATTGATCTGAGGGGAAAGGACTTGGTTGGAAATAAAGATTTCAGTGTTGGGAATTTACAGGCACACATTAGTTTCCTTACCTGCAGTGGATGATCAATCTCAATTACAAAGTGCTTGGTGATGTGAGATTGTGAAATTTAACATAGAAAGATAGAGACTTGGTGAATACAAACAATTCTAAATTTCATTTTCATTTTTAATGGAAAATTATTCAGTGGAGCCTTTGAAATATATATGCATTTGTTAGTTATTTCTAAGTATCTTGAAATCGCAATGGTTTCTAAAAAACAAATATGGTTTTCTGTACGTGGGGTTTGCAGACTTTTTAATGGGGGCAATGTGTAAATGAAATAACCATCAATTTGTGTATAATCTTACAATTGCAGTTGACTAATGTGCAACCAGTGCAATAGATGCAATAGATTTTACATTTTGTACTGTATAACAGTGTAACCTTAATGGTGAAAATGGCATTTTGTCATATAAAAAATGTAAGCCTTATGTATCTTTCTGAAGTTCTCTTTTGCTGTTCAACCTGCTCTTCAAAATTTGTAGTGCATTATATCTCTAGAGACATTTATCCAAACATATACTGGTGTTTGTTAATATATACAATATTATCATCTTACATTTGACATTAAAGCTGCAAACTGATTGATTTTGTTCCATTCAGAGTTGGTTTCTTTCATTTTTTATGAGGACAGATATGCACAAAACATCCTGGATGATCTTTTGAGGGTACTTCAAACAGTCAACACAATATTCAATGTGTGGTTATTTATCTACTCTCATTTATTTCAGCATGCACAACCTAAAATATGGTCATATATTATTTGTAATTACACAATATGCAGTGTGTGCTGTATATGAGTGTATTTTTTATACTGTATATAGTTTTGCAAATAAATATAGAAACAGTAGAGTATGAGTGTGTAATGAAACATACAATAAGCATGACAGATTACTAGCTTTTATGTGAAAATTTAAGGAGGCCTAATACATTGTTATGGACTGTCAGGCAACTCATCAGAAACAGGAAATACACATGCAGCCATCTAGAATGTGTAGCATAGCACTTCCGGCCTTTCACAGCCTTTCACAGCTCAAAATAAATTGGCACTTGTGATGTGTTAGAACTAAATGGTAGTGTCATTTAATTTTTCCCTTAGTCTAATAATCATATTTCATGAGAAATATGATATTTTATATGTTATATAAACATATGAAATACATAGCCTAAGTACTGTTTAGTAGCATTGCTCTACAGTATTTGTTTTGAGCAAATGAGATTACATGCCATAAACAGAGCATGGATTGGACCTCAAATTTTTAATGTAGTTGGTTTCACAGAAACAAGGAAACAAGAATTAAGCAAAACAACTGAAAATGCTTATATTGCAATTTGCCATCATATTATTGAGGTATGCTCTGCTCAAAACATTTTAATACCATTGTTATTATTGCTTGCAACACAGTGGTGTAAATAATTGCATCTAGATGAAGGCAGTGTACATGAATGGCGGTAATACTATAGCAGAACAGATATCTGTGGATATTCAAATATTTTTTTTACTTGTGTGGGTTGTTGGGAAGCATAGTTTTATTATTTGTCTTCTGGTCTTTCACATGCAACACGTTTCACCATAACATTTCTGATGTAACAGGGAAGTGTCGTGTGCCTTGATGGCTGCATTGTCTCCTTGTAGTAGGGATATTGGGGGTTGATAATTAGGATATTATAATTTTAGTAGTGTTATACAGTATTGTAGTATATTTGGGCTTATGGTAGCAATGTAGTAACAACATCCTGTCTCAACAATGTAATTATTGTATTTAATGAAACTGTTTGTCACTAGTATGTCTACAATATGATTAGTGTAGGAAATCACTAATGGGTCAATAAACATTTAATACCATAATCATTTGACAACCACACACAGCTGAGGTACTTTGAGGATTCACTATACCACCTGGCAGTTTTACAGAGTAGTGCAGACCTGCATCAGATTCAAAAAATAAAAAAAGCGATGAAGTGCTACACTCTGTGATAACATGGTGCCTACCGTAGTATACCTACTGACACCTCGCACATTTTAGATGGCTGCATGTTTACCTCTCAATGTCTTGGAATTTAAAATATGGAATCAACACTATTAGTACTGGGAATTAAATCACATGGCAATGGTAATGAAACCATTGTTTGACCTTTTAAAACTTAAAGCCTAACTCTATCAACAGGGTTAGGCTTTAACCTAACCCTGTCTTATAGAATGTAAGATTATGAGAAAGTGGGGTTGTTCATCTGGTGCTGTGAATATTAGACGTAATTGAAGCAATAAACCTAAACTATTAAAAATGGAAATTTCTCACAGTAAATTCTCTGTGTAATATATAATGATCAAGTAGAAATCCTGTTGCAAGGACAGGTACATGGGTGTACAGTATATCTCCTTAGAAACCTGTGCTGGTAAGAGTAAACAAAAAAACATGGAAAAAAAAGGTTTCAAAACACCTACAGACTCATTAAGAACATAAAACATAAAATGTTTAGTAAAAGAAACATTTATCCCCATAAAAAAAAACATTTATCCCCCACAGTCTTACATGCAGAACTGGGTGAAGTGTGAAGTGAAGTTGCCACTTTTTGAAAGATGTACTGTAACCTTCATTAGAAGTAATACAGTAGGGTCTCGAAATCTGCAAATTTAACATTTGCAAATTTGCTTATGTGCTATTTGGACTGGCTGATGGTGTCTTGGATGAAAGAAGAGCAGATCAGTAGGAAACCAAACTTCAGGCTGGTAGCTGCAATTTTCAAATTAGCAGTGCAACAGACCAGGATCACAAGATAAATCTAGGTAGTGAGTGAGCATCTCCCTGCCCCCTGCCCAAGTACCCACTACCCGGCATCAGCATCTCAACTTGGTCTTGTCTTACAGTATATTGTAACAAACATTCCAAGTTCTCTGTCGGCAGTGTCCTGAACGACAAGCTAGAGACAGTTTTACAGGCTCACTGACTGTTTTAATTGCCCATTTCTTTACATTGTGGCATAATAATCATGGAGCCAGAGAGAGAAAGTGCAGGCTGGGTACAGAGGAGGGTTTCATGTTTATTTCAGTGGAATACTGTACAGTATGTTTGTCTTTTCAGTTGTTTCTATTATTTGATCAATGTTATTTAAGTTAGCCAATGCATTAGTACATTAATCATCATATAAGGGAAGGTTACTTACTGTATGTGTTTTAACCTTACATATTATTGACTGTAGTACATCATGTGCTGGTATAGGGGTAGACTTAGTTATATGCAGTTATCTGAACTAATTATTTGCAAAGGTCAAGACCCTACTGTACTTTGATTTCTGTGTACTTTTCATATAGTGTGTCCTGCACAGTAGCAACAGTATTCACAGGATATTTAAAACAGTGGTTTGACACTTTCTAATGGGTAGTCTGAGAACCTCTGAGATTTTGGTATGTCAATACAATGATATATTGGGCAAAATTGTAGCACAAATATAAAAAATAGCACAAATTCCATTAATCTGTAATGTCTAATTTGCATGACAAACTCACTTTTTCTTGTTTCTATTTTTGTACTACTGTATATGGTACAGTACATCACAGACCACCATATGTCTATATATACACCTGCATAACTGTATATATGCAGCTGTTTTATTTTAATACAATGTAGTACTTGAACTACTCTGGGTGTTGACCTTGTTTTTTTAGATAGCACACAGGCATTGAATAAACAGAGATGAACACACAAAAGAAAAACATACTCTAGTTTGTCAGTGTGCCTCAGTTTTCACTTCAAATAGCATTTCCTTCCCTTAATTTGAGTGTACGGAGAACCTTTTCAGAGAATACCTATAAGGAGATAAAATCAGCACCTCAGGTAGGCAATGACAGCTCTGAACAAGTAGATATTCCTCAAGTTAAGTAGAAGTCTATCACAAATTCTATTCTAGGTAACCATTATTTGGCAGGCAGTCTTTTTTTGTTTGTGAATCCTAGAACAATATTCACATCCAGCTAAAGAAGTACATGGCTGGGCTCCTGTTGATTATTCTATACTTGACTAAGATATGTGTCAATACCTTTAAGATTTTTCAAAGGTATTGGAAAATTAAAAACATTTCCAACAAATGCCCCAAGGACACATCGAAGGACAAGGTTTTATATTGCATTTAAGTTTTGTCTGTACTGTTCCTCCATTTGCCTGTTTCTGAAACCACTCAGATGCTCCTGATTTCTTAATTGTAAACGTTTCAAATTTGTTTCTCTTTCTGCTTATCCCCAGTCTTATCTGTCTGGGTCCTGATTTGTTTTCTTTCTTTTTTCTTTTTTTTCTTGCAGCTTCCAGTGGCAAATTCCATTAACAATTTCTGTTGGAAATTCAAGTCACATATCCTCAGAATCAATCATTTGGGTTTCTAATAGAACAGGTACATGTATGTGTACTCAGAAAATATATCTGCTTTGCTTTTTTTGCTTCCTTTAAATCACATAAAAATGCGTTTTGACTTTTAAGTGTTCTTCAAGGAGAAAGTGACTCTTGTGAGAATGCTGTTATTTACTGTTTATTTTTCCAAAGTGTCTAGAGGCAGCATTGAATGGATAATGACCGGGCTTTTGAGCTGCTCATGCACCATGATAAGTGAAATCAATTCCTCTTGTCTCCCTTTGATTTTCTTCTAACTTGGCCTGAGAATTTACACTTACCTCCAAAGTATAAATCTGGGGCTCAAATGCAATTCAATTAGATATTAAACTCATGTCAAAGAAAAGCCTGTGTTTTAAATTTAGTGACAATGATACATTTCTTCAGTACAGATACAAAGTCAAGCATTTTTGATTATACGTTTTGATTAAAATGTATTCTTCAATTAAATACTAGAAAACCAATTGATTACTTTTAGATTTACTGCTTCTTGTTTTTTTGTGATAATGTAATTCTAAGCCAATTCTAGGATTCCATTTAGAAAAGATTTAGGAAAATAATTGAATATATTTGACTTCTCACAAGAGAACTATCTGGGATATTTTCTCAGATTGTCATAACATTTTTCATTGCTGCTTTGTTGTATCCCATGTTTCATTACAACCTTTTCATCGCTTCTTGATATATTTTATATTCATTGTATTCCGACTAGCAGGCTTTAGGAGTTGATATACAAAATGAATTATTGGAATTGTAACAAAGAAAACATGTAAGAGAACAATATAAACCAAACAATCAGTGAAGAATATTAAATTACAGTAAATCAGACTCTTTTGTATGTATACTGGTATATTGGTTTTGTGGTTTTAAAGACAATTTTAAAATGAGAGCTGTGCTATTAGTCTTGACTACAAATAGAACTGCACATGGACTATGAAAAAATAACCTCACAACTGACGTACTTCAGCAAAGGTCCTAGCAAAATATTTTTTGTCTGCAAAGCTCTAAGGACAGCTTATGATGCCCTTTGTTGCGTTGCCTACTTAGAACGGCCATTTTCCAGCAACTCCTACCTACTCCTACCACATTTCTATGAACTAGATTTCCATATAGTGCCAGCATGAGATAGAAATGCATACAGTAGTGATAGAAGTGTGCCAGTATATCCCCATGAATAACAGAAAGAGTGGTGCTGGGGCGCAGTGGTTAACATTGCTGCCACACAGTGCTGGGGCCCTTGGTTCAATTCCTGACCTGAAGTGTCATCTGCATGGAGTTTGGATGTTCTCCCCATGTTTGTATAGGTTTCCTCCGGGTGTTCTAGTTTCCTCCCAAAGGCATACTGGTAGGTTAATTGGCTTCTGGGAAAACTAGCCCTGGTATAAGAGTGTGCGTCCGTGTTTCTGTGGCTTGTGATGCTGGCATTCTGCTGAGGGTGTGTGCTGCCTTGTGCCCGTTGCTTGCTCCTCCATGACCCTGTATTAAACCCTGTATGACCCTGGATAAAGCAGTTATAAAATGGATAATTAACAATATCACAATACTTTTTACTGTAATCATTAAACAATATCATGACAAAAATGGCAAGATGAGGATGGAGATTACCCATTTTATTGTTTCTTTATTTTACCAGGCAAGCAAATTAAAAACAAATTCTCAATAACAATAGCAGCCTGGAGACCCATTTCTACAGAAGGGTTTTTTTCTGGAGTAATTTCAGCAGAGGACCTTGCTCAAGGGAGCAACAGCATAATCCCCTTTTTGGGAGTTCGAGCCCACAGCCATCTAGTCCAGAATCTCTTAACTCTACTCCTTTCAGCTCTTGCATTAGTTTATTTCTTAGCAATGATTTTCAGTTTCATTTCACAGTCAAAATGTGCAGGAACTACAGAAAGTGTGTCTTCTGTCTATCTTTTTAAACTGCACTCGAAGGTGTTTTTGTTTTATTCTCTAATTCCCAATATCCTATTATCTGAGATAGGTGTTGATATTTTTTAGTTCCTAAACGTAGTGAGTGGCTTTAATTTTATCTACATCTTATGTCTGTTATATTGTCTGTTAAACATAATTTATCCCTGTTAAAACACTGTTAATCAACATTTATTTCATGGTATGTCGATAAGCTCATTTATAGTACCATTGAGGGCAACATTGCAATGATTAGTTTAATTAGTCTAGGGCAGTTCTTGTGGTTTTTACATGGTTTTGCTCCAGGTATTCCAATTTCCTCTCATCTTCCACAGACATGCTGGCTTGGTTTATTGGTTTCACTAAGTTGTGCCTGAGTGCCCTGTAATGGACTAGCACCTTGTCCCAAGCATGTGCTCTGTGCGTCCAGGACAGATTCTGGGATGCTATGACTCTTACAAGGAAGAAGCACCTTTAGATTCTTAGTGTTTCTTAGTAAAAAAATAAAAAAAATGGAAAAAGACTACAGTATTTAAAAAAGCTTCTGATTTGATCAATGTTTTATTTATAGAATATTTTGGCTGATTTTTTAAAATGGAATATCACCATAATATCACCATCCTGAATAAATGGCTATTGGGCTTTATTAAGAAGATTACGCATGAGCGTTTAATTAAACCTATGTCATTAAGTATTCTGTATCTCAAGTAATGGAACATTTTATTGTAGTAAAAGTTTTTTACCCAAAGACTGGTCTAATTTGTGTTTTTTGTGAAAAGGCTTGCTTTTGCATGAAAGATGTGCAGTTAAAAAAAATACAAAATTATGAATTACAAAAAATCTTTCTGTGGTCTTACTGCATTTAATCTCCTTTTATTTTTAGAATCCCATAAAATCAGTTTAATGGATGAAGGAACTTGGTTGCTTGGAAACATAAATCAGACTGGCTACTTCAGAGTAAACTATGATCTCCAAAACTGGAGACTATTAATTGAACAGCTGATGAGGAACCCTGAGGTAAAAGACTTTCATCATCTTGAGTTTGGTACTGTATATGAATATTCCATCACTGATACCAAACACTATAAATGGGGAGGGGAGCATAAATGTAGAATACAGATTCTATTTTTAATAAATCTAACAAATAATTAATTTTAATGAAACATGCTCTACACTGAGTGTTGATTCCAGATGTGGTCACTTGCTTTCCTTTAGTTAATGGGGCCTAGTAAACAGGATACAAACCTAGAAGATTTTAGTTTTAGGTTTATTTACAATAATTAAAAACCAAACACAAAATACAAGATAGATAAATGTTAATATTATTTTTTAAGTGTGCAAGATTCTGAGTTCAGGCCTTCCAAAACTAACCTCAGTTATCTCTCCAGCATGGGTCACCCTTAGTGCAAATTAATGGAGACATGTACTGTATGTTTATGGTTATGGTTGTTTCTGCATCTCTTTGAGGAAGATTACCTTGGAGTCTGATTGAAGGATTTAGAAATCTGATGAACATTAAAAGAAAAAAAAGAACATGGTCTTTGCCACCTAAAGTCACATCTTGTCTCTTCAGTTCTCCAAAATACATACTAAGTTTCAATCCTTAAAGGAACTGCGGTCTCAATTTCTCAAACCGGTTATTGAATCTCAGTAACAAAATAAATTCATTGATGGTATGGCAAAATTTGACTAATTCTGAATTAAGCCAAAAACAGTGAACTATGAGAGAGTACTGGATAGTTGCCATGTTGTTGGAAACCCCAGGTCTCGCCACTAGTGAGTGAGAGATAGGAAGAACTGCAATGTGAAGCCGCTCCTCATGCTCACTAGTCACTGTAATGGCTGATGTACTGCCATGTAAGAGCGAATAAATACAGGTTGTGCAGCACATAATTTACTGAAGAAATGTTCCAGTGTGATCTGCATGCAGAGATATCAAGTAAGTAGTATTTGTCGGCAAAAACTCGGCAAAGTTGGGAGTGGTATTTCTATTGGATTAAAAGAGATGTGTTCACTATCCTGTTTGGTTACAGTGTCACATATGGTGCTGCGCATACAGTACCTGGAAATGTAATCTATTTTGTTATGTAAATTGTAGGGTTTGCACAGTACTGTGTACATTTTACTTTCACTGTGTTTTGAAATGCACTCATCAATGTCATTTCTCTCTAACTCAGAAATATAAAAATAGCATTGCAGTTCCAAAAATAGTAGAACTTGGATCAGTGGGAAGGTGCAGCTCTTTTACTGAACTCTTACCATTTTTAGTTCTATTGATATTGGAGTTGTTACCTGTTTGTATCTCTCGCCCAAAGGTAAAAAGTTCAGTATTTAGGTGACTAAACTGGGCTATCAGTTGTTTTCCAAGGACTTATTTCTAATTGAAATGAGTGAAGACTACAATTTCCACTAACTATGCAAATCATACTATAACTAGTATACACCTAACACCTATACTGTACACCTACTGTATGCTGTTTAGATGTGTGGTGTCTCCGGGGGAAAAGTTTACGTAAATTAGATAAAATCACTCACACCACACTTTTCTTTGTCTTCACGGATAAAAAAGTTTCTTCTGTCCGAATATCTTCTCTCTCCCTCTCTCCTCCAAATCGCATTCACCTTATCGGCTTCTGTGCACTGCTTCCGGGGCATTTATATTTTGGTTTCTGATGAGGCTCAGCTGTGTCTTGTCGTTTCTCTGAATAGACCCTTTCCATATATGGGCAGCAGGTTCTTCTTGCTGGCCAATTTGCTCATGTCCAGTATATTAAGTAGGTCATTCCGAAAATACCGGTTATGGATGACCCTTCCCATGGACTTCTTACAGATGGTAGTTTGCTGGTATTATGAAATACATAGAGCAAATTAAAATTCATTTTTCCATAATTCATAGCAATAGCTTGCCCTTAAAACATACTTTAACCCTGAGAAGTGTTCTTGTAGTACACATACGAACACTTCTTTCACTAGTCAAGGATAGCTATGTAAACCTTATGAGTCTAACAAGGGTTAACACACCTGTCTGCTTGTTAGCTTTGACTATATGCTAGTGAAATTTGAACTTGGTTCTGCTTTTTAGCAATTTCAAATATTTTACATTCATTTAAAGGCACCAGTGACAGGTCTCAATAAATAAATAAGGTGGCTCATGAGGCCTGAGCACATTTAAACCCACGATGGATGGAAGACGTGGATAAAGAGTCTTTAATGCCAACTGCACTCAAAGTGCTTATCGTGAAAAACCCAGCCACCAACTACCATTGTGAAGCCCTTTATATACCTAAAAATAATAAACCCCAAGGGAGAATGTGCAATCACTACCCTTATCTCCATAACTATACCACTTATTACCTACAGTAATTCACTATGTACAGTACAAGTATTAAGAATAGAGTGAATGTCCTTGATTGGCCTCGTCAAAATATTGACTTTATTCCAACTGAAAATTTCTTGCCAGGCTTGACAACTGCAGTCCATCAACGAACTTGTCAGAACTGGAGAGAATTTGACAGAATGAATAGATAAAATTACACAATCGCACTGTGCAAAGCTAGTAGAGATCTAGCCAAAAAGCAGAAAGCAGTCACTGCTGCCAGTTTCTTCCACCAACTGCTGATTTATGAGGCTGAAGACTTACGCAATCAGGAAATTTCTCTTTGTTTATCTTCTTTGTAGATTTTGCTGAGATTTAACCTCCTTCACATATGTTGAGGGCTCAGTTTGTTCATAATGGTTTTGAATAAATGTAATTTGCAATTCTTCTTGAAATTCATGCAATTCATCAAAATGTGTTACCATTGGCAAGGGTGAATACTTCTGCAAGACAATGTATATACTGTATACAGGTACATTACTTTTCAGAACACTGGTGTTCTTTGTTTACACTAAAATGGTTCTCATTGATTCCTCCAGGTCATTTCTGTAGGCAACCGAGCAGGCCTCATTGACGACGTTTTCAATCTTGCCAGGTAGGGTCTGGTCTTGTCACATTCTTGTTTCTTGGTGACTTAATGGTTGTTGTGTAAAACCTTCTCAGGAAGCTTCATTTATAAAAATGACATAGTTTAATGTTTAATGTCCTGTACCATCCATTCATTCCTAAAGCAATTAGCTTAAGTTTCAAAGGTATATTGCACAACTGCACTACAACTCTTGTCTTAATGTTTAAAACACTTCAGCTGTGTTTTATCCGCTTGTAAGTGAAATGTTATGTTTCATAAAATATAAATAATGTAATGTTTTTACAAAAGGTATGAGTTGTGTATTGAGGTAGGGAAAGACAACAACTAACTTTCGGAATGTTTAATAAGTAACAGTACAGACTTAAAACCACATTCTGTGCCGTACACACTACAACACTTTACCATTAACATACTGTTTTTCTGTACAGCAGTTATACTTGTAGCGATGCCCAGTGACACAGACATACTAAGCTGAGTGTCAGGTTTCTGAATAGAAAACTCCAAACCATATTAATGAATATATTACTAGATTGTGGTGAAACTGGAGTACCTTTACTTTAAATAATGCACTTTATTATATACAGTATGATACATAATATAAACACGTGAAATATATTAAAGATTTACAGTATATATAATATAATATTCATTATGATCACTATAAAAGGCTTTTGCAAGGCAGTGGTAAAAGAGTAAAAAAACTGAGAGGATACATCTTTCATAATGCACTATTAAGTCATATTACTTGATTATATAATGATGTCAAATTATAATAAAGTGTAAAGAATAATGTCCGATCTGAACAGTATATGATGTAGACAGATTAAAGGAATTACATCTGCTGAGACTTGTACAAAGAGGGTTAACTTGGAGTTTGATTGAAAAATTCAGAATTCTGTAAGATACTGACAAAGTTAACAAAGAAAAGTACTTGAACAAAACTACTACTATAGAAAAATATGGGCCACGTGCATACTGAGATATTGCATATTATTATATAGGATCATTATAAAATGCATAGTGCAGCATTTAAAATATAGAATGTGTGATTGAGATCTTACTGATGAACTTTGAGATTCATTGTTGCAATAAAATATGGTACATAAGCAAACTAATCAAAATATGAGTAGCTAAAATCTGTAAAAAATATTAATTTGAAAACTTTTAACAGTTTAAACTGTCAAAAACTGCACATTAAGTTTTTTAAGTTGCTTTCATAGAACTAAAGCACAAAAGATAAGCACATAAGCAGTCTATTTTATGCAGTTCACCAAAGGAGGAGCTGCTTTCAAGTATTGGTGCCAGATCAACAAGATTAACAAGGTGTAACAGAAACTGCAGAAGATATTCCCTAGATGAACGCTAGGTTATAGTTGTAATCTTCTAAAGAAAGGTAAGGAAAGACAGGGCATCCAGTTGTGTCAGAACAACTGTTTTAATAGGTTGTGACAGGTTTGTTACAGTTTATTTACCAAAATGATACACCACATTTAAAAATTTACTTCAGATAGCGGACTAAATAGTTTAAAAGATAGCGCACACATAATATACTGTACTTAGAATTCTGGATTAATTTTCAAGGGGAATATTTCTTTAATATTTGAGTGTACTGTACATTGTTTAACTTTTTCAAGGACAAAAAAAATGCTTTGTTGACATACTGTACGCTGTCTACAGTGTCACAAATTTGCCAAGAATTATATTGAAAACACTTTTGATAATCTTAATGATTTTTATTGTCTCCACCACTCTTCTTTGAAAGCATGGACAGCATACAGTATAAAATAGTAATCATAATATTAGTTGATTGTATCTCACAAAAGTGGGGCAGTGATTTACAGTATGTGACCATTTTATGAGCAAGTTACAGTTGAAAAACTGTATATCCATTTTTCACTTCATAGAGCTGAGTTGGATAAACAGGATATATAGAATGTATATAGAATATACAGGTAGCTACTGAATGCATTTTTTGGATGTTATGTGTTCATGCTATGTTAATTTTAAAGATCCAAATAAAGTATTTTAATTATTTAATTTAACAATTTAATTAGTAAAATATAGTCAATTTAATTAGTCACAAATATATTAATTGTAATATAATTACACGACATTGGAAAATCCAGCCACATAAACTGGGGAGTTATCTTCATAACTTTTATTTCATCCTTTACTCTGTAAGGTTTGTAATTGAAGAAAGAGAGATATTTTTTCAGCAATGCATAGGTCTTCTGAGGGAGGAAATTCCAAAGTATTTGTGATTCTTAATGTGGTAGTCATGAGACCATACCACATTTCAAGAAGAAATAAACTGTTATTGGATTTTTTTAATAAATAGATAACATTTACATAATAAATAGAAACACATAATAGTAAATAAACTTAAAGTATAAACATTTTAACCTTGCAAATGGCTTAACCCTTTCAAATAGCTTTTCAAATTATCCATGTATCATGGAGAGTTCTCAAATTTTTAAAATTGTTTAGATACTGTACAAGTTCTGTGCTCTCAGTCTTTTCTAACCTTTTAATTATTTCAAGACTCACTGAACATATCAATTTGGTTGCAAAAAATGGGGCATAATCTATAATGCTGCCATATTATTTTTCAGCCAAATTAATTGCATCAGCATTATATATGTTGAAATAAATGTGAGTCAAGATGTATAATCGTATCCTCTTATTAGATACAAATTGCCAGAGAAATGTGCTCACAAAAAGAGCAATATCTATATGTAATTATATAAATCTGAGTAAAGGGATCTCATACATAAGCAATGATAATGATTACATTTTGAAAATCCAATTACAAGTATTGCAATTTACTGTGCTGTGGAATTTGGGTATGATTGTTTTATTGACTGCTAAATATTCGCCATTAACATTCATGTTCTCATGTGAAATATTTTAAATGCAAGTTTCCAGTACTTAGAGTATGTCTTACTTTTATTGTCCCAAATGGAAAATAACATTACATTACAAAGACATTACACAAATACACAATACATTTAACACAATATGGACCCATTAACAAATAATAGACATACACATATGATGAGAGAGAAAGGAAATAAACTTATAATTACAGTAAAATACACAATCAACTGTCCAAATTAATCAGGTTAATAACAGTGGAAATAAAAGATAATTAAGCTCTATTACATTTGAATCTAGGTAATTTACATAGACATCTACTGTAGATGGATGGAGTTCAGATTTACCATGCAGGGGTTGGTCATGACAGTCAGTTATTATACTGGCTTTCCACACTATCTATTGTATGTGATGGAGATGTCTGAAAGCTGTAGCTGGTCTGCACCAATAATTTAGCTGGCTACCTCCACAATCCTCCTCAATCTGTTCTTATTGTGTATATTTAAATTACCAATCCATTCTAACACAGTGAATGTTAGACAGATTAAATGAAAGTTCTATAGATTAAAGTCATTTTCTTAGTTTACACGTTAAAAGAGCAGAGTTTTCTTAGGATGAACAATTGCTGTTGTCTCTTCTAACATATGGCATCAGTGTTTTCTTCAAAGGTTAGTTTGTAACCAACAGTAGTGCCAAGATATTTTTGACAATTTCAATTTCCTGTTCCTCAGTGAGTAGTGGTTACAAAGCTGGTGGTTTTGTTTAATCAGTGTCTACGTCTTGGAGAAGACTGACAATGACAGAGTCATCAGAAAACTGTATCACAAAATTATGATGTGTCTGTCCTCACAAGGACCATTACATCTAATGCACTGTATAATGTCTAAGCTTTAGATTTAACTTAAAAGCAATGCAAATCATATCAATCTCTGACAATGGTATATACAGATCCTGTCATTCAAAATGAGTGAGGTATGCTGCGTTAAAACACGGTGGACATACCGCAATATACCATGTGTTTTTTTAAATAGGATAATAGTATCCAGAAGTACCTTGTAAAACTGCCAGGTGGAGCTCACAAAGCTTAACGTCTCATGTGCAGCATTTGAGCTGTTGCCAGAAAACACGCGGATTCAAATCCCGGTCACTGCTGAGGGACAATCTTTTTCCAATTAAGAATTTAAGTTGCATGCTGTTTAGACTTTTAATAATTTTGAACTGTGTACTACAGTTTGTTAAACATTAAACATTAAAAATTTGGTATGTTTTATAAAAGCAAGATTGCTCAGTTGAACAAAAGTACACAACCTTCCACCTTCTTCATAAATAATTAAATTATGCATAAATATTTTATGCATCAAAGTCTTTAACTTACAGTAACAGTAACACAGTAACTTACAGTGAGTTCTGGTTCTGAATAACGTGCTTATTCTAACATTATTAAGTTTATATACTGTACTTCATAAAAAGTCATAACGTTTTGTCCTTTTCTAAGAAAACCACTTGCTGTTATTGTAAAAAGATAAACGTTGTAGTGATGTTACACTACTTGATAGTTATATTAATATGGAATCGTGTATCTAAGCAGCTAAAGTATTACAAGTGGTTGTTTTGGAAACATTTTGACATTTGTCTTTAAAAAAAAAAACTTCTATTGTCCTTGTAGTGGTAATGAGCACTGTAATGTAGCGAGTTGCACCCAGGTGGTTCAAAGCATGATCACAGAATTACTTTTGGTTTGTTTCTCATATAGCCGAACACATAAAAATAGTGTACTATTATAGCTTATTGTGAACATGATGTGTCTCTTTCAGGTTTACATCCGAATTGAGAAAATCTATATTTTGTCTTAATCCAAATGTCAGCAACCAGTAATCAACCAACAATTTAACTTGGAATTTTTTTTTTAAATTTAAACTGTACTACAGTATATAGTACACCGCCTGGAATTGAACCCGGTCCGTCAGTCATTCAACAGGGAACCAGCTGGATGATGGTTTTGTGTTTAAGGATTTCCTCATGGAAATCTTTAAATTAAACGAGGAAGGGGGGAGGGTTAATTTTTACAATTGCCAGTAATCGGAGAACAGCTTATCAACACGATGGGCAAAATATTTCTTCTCTTCCTGTTG